AGAAGAAGAAAAAAAAGAAGAAGAAAAGAAGAAGAATAACAAATATTTTAAAATCTGCAAGTCATCGTGTTTTTGATGCCGTTCCTCTCCCCACTGCTAATTTGAAATAAATTCCCCATTTTTTGCCATTTACTTAGTACGGCGATAAACCTGTTAACATCTCCTTATTCCTCCCCGCCTTCCTGGCTGAAACTCACCTAATGATAAATGGTAGCTAAAATCAAGAACGGCGTTACTTGTAGTACTATCGCATTTTTCCAATCCAATAAAATCGCTCATTACGTCTCTAACCATACTGAGCTTTTGTACTGAAATGATAAAAGGAGCAATGCATGCTAATAATTTGGTTTCCAACTCAACTGGTCTTATATCGTGTATTCTAATACCATGTTCAGTAGACACAAACATGGTTATAATTATGTGGTCTTCGTCTTTTAGATTTTTCTTATCGACTGAAATAAAATTTGGCAAATAAAAAAATGTAGATAACTGCATGAAAACTTACTGACCTGATTTAGATCTAGCGAGGAAGCCTTTCTTTTGAACAGGTAATTTGACCTTTCTTGCACTACAAATGAGAAGTCTAGAGTCATTGTTGTCCCAACAAAAGCCAGTAGGTATTCTATTCCGACATTTTTCATCATATTTCAAGGCCGTATCGGTTTCCCTTTTAACAACTTCTTTACTCAAATCGATATCATCGAGAGGTTCGTTTTCCAAAAAGTCATATTTATGAAAGTCGTAAAGAGATACGATGTCCCCCTCGATGTCCCAAACATATAATTTTCCATCAGGGATTAAATTAGCAGCAGCTACAGTAAATACTACTTTTGTTCCATTAGCATTTGTTTTAGCTTGTATTATTTCGCCAAAATCTGTGATCATGTCATACAAATTGCGAACTGGAGTGACAAGCTTAGGCTGATCTGTTAAAAAAAAAAAAATATGGTAGGCGTGATTTTAAAACAATAGAAACACAAATAATTATTAACTGGTTTATTGCAATTTATCCAACTAAAATTATTTCAAAATTTAAAAGAAAACAACTCAAATGAGACGAAAATGTAAAATAACGAAGAAAGATCAAAGAATGGCTCTCGTCTGGCTATACAATTCAATAGAGTAAACCAGCAGATAAAACATTATGTTCAAAACTCTATCTTTGATTTTGCTTCCTATAGAGATCGTCATTCTTGGACACGATTCGTCCTTAGGACTTCTATGCCCACGTGGACAAGGTCTGGGGTACACGACGCCGTCAATGTAAAAAGAGGCCATGAGGCGCCCTCTAATTTAATTTAAAAAACTTTATTTGAAACTTTACAATAAATTTATATAAAAACTAAAAATGATACACCAAAAATACATTTCCTCTCAATAGCAATAGATATTCCAGAAAAAAAATAATTTCTTGTAATTTACAAGTTTAAAGATGTTTATTTAAATTATTATTATTATTGAAATAAGAGGCATAAGTGCCCGTGGGTTAACCTTAGCAAGGCAGAAGTGTATGCCATATTTCCAATAGGAAACGCACGTGACAAAGTCGGCCATTTTGGATAACCATTTATGACTCATTGATTGTTTATGTGTCATTTAAAAGTTGGTTTTTGTATTATATTTTGCATGTTATTAGTTGTTAAACCTTTTTTAGTCGATAACAGAATAGTTAATACATAATTTCTTATTTTAGTTCCTTTCACAAATAAATGTGTACCTATACTATACGATGCTTTGTATGAGATATTATCTAGCAATAATTTTAAAAATATTAAAAATACAACTTGATAGTTTTGTGTTATAAAATATTAAAAAAATCTCTGATGGAAACTGCACTTAGTAAAATTAAAACTAGAGTGTTGAAAATAAATTAACTGCCATTTTTCTCTAAAAGTAATTCAATGCCTGGCTAGGTATATAGTCAGAGGAATAGTTGTTTTCTGGAGGGAACCAATAACTCGACCTGTTCTGTGACACATTTTTTGAGTTTTTTTCTTTTATTTCAAAATTATTTACATCGAAACAAAAGCAAATACCTGACAAATTGTATATCTTCAAATAACCCTCCATAGTAAATATGGTCAAATAATGTACAGTTACATCCATTCCAATGTTTTCACCTTCACTTATAGATGAAGAAATTGTAAACAAAGTGGATCCCGTTGTCGATAATATAGAAATTGTTTTCGGGTTCATAGAAATGATGTTTCTTTGAAAAACAATTATTGTTTCGTTTTCATTGTTAAAGCTTGTAAGACGTTTAACGGAAAATTTTTGTGTTCCTGAAACCATAAATAATTATTTAGGTCCCAACCCTTGTAAGTGGTAAGTGTAATTTACAATGACATTTTTCATATCTACTATTACCAATATTACAACATTTAGGAAAGATGATTTATTATTATTAATTTTATGACCTCTCAAACATTTTTAATAGTTGACTTCTAATTTTCTGGGGTTATTGTCAATAAATTTGATGTAACCAAATTAGTTTCTATAGACTTGGTCTGTATAACTGTAATACATTTCCACTGTTTCTTACAGTATTTATTTATTTTTAAAATTTCTTCATTAATAAAATAATCAGTTTAATTTAAACTAGTGATGGGTCGCTTGAAAAAGTTCACGGACAAGTCCGACGGACTAGTCTGAAAAGGTGACTAGTTCAAAAACTGTATTGCGCATGCGCGACAGTAAATTAACTAATTTGTCTGACTTTCTTACAAGCAAAGTTTAAAAAAGAAATAATTACTGACTTTTATATTTTTTAAACATGTTTTCGAATTTTCGTTTCATAACTTATTAAAATAAACACGTGAAAAAATGACCAAAAACCAAAGGTTTACAAATGATTTGCCTAAAAAAATGAAAATACAAATGCAAATATTGTTTCTAAATTGTTTTTGAAAAAAACATCCAGGATAGAGATTTAACTGTGTGTTTTCTATGCCCAAGGTCGAATACTTTTCATTGTGACTTTTCATTACTTTTCACTCCTTTTCTGGACATGTCTATCAGACTAGTCTAAAAATTTCTTTTCATGAAAAGTCCCATCACTAATTTAAACATTAAGCTCTCAAAATCTAACCATATAAACGATAGAAGAAGGTGAAAAAAATATACCTAGCACTCATTGACCTGAGAGTAGCTTGAGATGCAATAGAACGAGAAAAATATGGCAGGCTTTGGTAGAATTGGAAGTGTCAAAAGATCCAATTAAACTAATTAAAAGCAAATATGAGTCCGTTAAAGAAAGAGTACAGTTATGAAAACCAAAACTTAAGGAGATTTTAATAAAAAAAATGAATAAAACAAGAGGATAGTATAAGCTCAAAGCAAACAGAAAATTTATAATAGAATACAGAAACAATGAGCTAGTTTCATTAGGCAATTATCTATATTCAGATGACATGGTCAAATAAACTTATGGAAAAGAGAAGAAGAAAACAGGAGAATGAAAGTAAATATAAATAAAATCAAAGTGATGATTGTTAACGGAAAACAAAGATGACAGAAATAAAATATGAGGCCACAACACTATAGTTTATTTAAAAATGAATGATAACAAAATAACATCATAAATGACGGAGTAAGGAAACTGATGATGATGATGGCTCCTTATCGGGAGGAAACGACTTATTTATTTAGGTATGTAACTTTATATTTATATTAATTATAATAAGTTTTTATGACGCCCAAAATACAAACAAACAAATTTATATGGAAACACGAAACACGAAATATGAGTGTTTTATGATAAAAGACTTTTTTTTTCAAAGATTTTTAGTACATCATATAAATTTGTATGTGTATATTTATTATTAAATTTTAAGGAAATATCCTAACCTAATATCTAGTACACTATTTTTATAAAAATAAATGTGGGTACTTAATATTGACAGTTTACTATTTTGTAT